AATATTCTTGAATATACAATCATATTTGAATTTATAAGCTATATTTAGTGTTTTAACATGAAAAATAGTTTCAGTGATTTTTTCTATTTTTGCCAGGAAATGTTGTATTGCGGATTTGAAATATATAAACTACTATTTTACTCGTAATAGTCGAATTTTTTTTTGCTCAAATAATGGAATTTTTATGTTCGTAATTACCTAAAAATACCTACTAGCCGTTGCAAAAAAGGAAAACAACAGTAAATTAAAATTATAATTTGTAAAGTACTCTTGTCAATTTTTTCAAGAAACATGAGCTCTTATAATTTGATTAACATAAACTTCCGGTTCTATGTTATCGAAATTTTGGGATGTTTGAATGTATATTTTAGACTTTTTTTTTATATCGACAAAAATGGGATGTTGTAAACATTACATAATTATTGCAAAAGGTCGTTGGTGCAAAAATTCTCTTTTTGACGGAAATATTATATAATGTTTTATTTGTTATGTCCTTCAACTGTATTTACTGATCTTCATCATATTCAGCGATTTTAATACTGGAGTGTATCGGAAAAATTGGGCATAAAGTTCTAAACTAATACAGACATAAGTGATCTATTAAAAAATATTGAAAAATATTTACAACATCCTCTCGATTGTTTCAATAAAATTTAAAAATAATAAAACAGTTTTTACATTACATTTTGCTGTTTTCATGAAACCTAGGCACGTAATTCTTTTCTTTTCACAAAAAAAAAGAAAAATTTAGGAAAAATAACTAACACCTAATTGATTAATTAACAATATGCTCAAAACACGTAATATAATTTTTACGAACTAAATATTGTTATGCAAATTATTATATTTTTAATACAAAATTTTGTACAGATTTTATTAAAAGAAAATTTACATGTATGTGTATAATGTTTACATAAAATATACATACATACAAATATAGAAATGTGGTTTTTTACGATTTAATTTACATAAGTGTTTATTTTTACATGAACATGGATATTTTTAAGTAAAATATACCAATGTCAAGGTAAGTCGAATAATATAACATGTTAATTGTTGACAATATAATAATATATATTTTATATGTAGATATATATATATAAATTATTTTCAATGTTAATGCTATAAACATAAAAGGCATAAAGCATCAATAGGCCGAGTTAAAAAATAAATATGATTTTAATGATTAAGATTAACTTTTTCTAGGAATATTTATTATTAAAAAAAAATTATTTGAGAAAAATTAATTGTAAATATTATAAAATATTAAATATTGAAAAATTTTATTATCTTCCGGTTGTAAGTTGTTCTGTATTTATAAACATGTATACGTATTTACATATTATTCAAAGTGCCGCACTTGATGTAAAAATTAACATAATAATTATACATCTAAGATAATAAATAATTAACACCAATTACTTTGTTGTACAGTATTCAATGTAATCCCATAATGTCTTAATATCATATTAATTAAAATATTAAACATATACATTCGTATACTCGTACAGCTTAAATTTTATTTATTTAATAGGATGAAAATTAGATTTTAATAAAGATTATTTATGAATTTATAAATGGGTATATTTAACGTATAATAGCAACAATTGCACAAAGTGTCAGAATATTATTTGACGTTCTAATTTAAATGAGGCAGTTTATATTATCGCAAATTTATATATTTTTATTTATCGCAAGTTACAGAAAAATTTAAAACGAAATTTTAATAAATAATTACATTAATAACCTTGAAAATAAGTGAGATAAATATAAGTATTTATCAAGTTTTGACAGAATGCATATTAAACTAGGAAAAATTTGAATTTCTAATAAAATAAGAAACTGCGAAACTGAACTTAATTTCTTGTGACCACAGAAGTGAATTCGGTTTTGTGTTCACAAAAGAACAATTCTTTTTTTTTTAAACATTCAGTGTCGCAAAATTTCGGAATAGTGGGCCACCTTTTATTATTGTCTAAATACATTCCTCTTTTGTATTTGCCAAAATGAAACTGTACTTTAAACAGTTTTAACTTAGAATGTAATTAAAATGACATATTCTGTCAGTGTCAAATTATTTTCATTAACATTGGTAATTAATAAAGAAATATCAATTAATTTTATAATGAATGAAAGTAAATTATTATCGTTTATTCTTCTAATTATACATTTTATTTATTCATTCAATCATTAATCATTTTAAGTTTTATTTTTTGTTTTCAATTAAATCAAATTTCTTTTAAATGTTATCCTTGGAAATAAAACTATAAAATGAATTTGTTCAAATTGAAACAAATATTTTATCAAAAATAAATTATCATAAAATAAACTAAAACCTACTACACATTCACTGACAAACACGCATATACATACAAAAAATTAATAACTTTTTAAATAACTGCCTTTGATACATATAAATATTTATTAAATAAAAGCGAAATGATTAATTTATTCGCAAATTTTTTTTATTAATTTAAAATTTTAAAGCAAAAAAAAAAGAAAGAAAAAAAAACGGAATGTTAATAAAACATAAACCGATTTACCGTTCCCAGTTGTCAAAATGATCGTTGAGTTTTTGAGCGAAGTAAAACGAAATTAATAAAAAAATCATCTTTGACAAAATATAACTGTTCGTAAATTTTTATTTTAACTTTTGTTTTTTCATTGTTTTTATTTCAACAAGGTTATTTTTCTTCTAACAAACTTTAAATTCGCGATAAAATTACATAAAAAAAATAAAACCTACAAACATTTTAAAGTTCATTGAATATCAATTATAAGTGCAAATTTTAATGAAAAAAAAAAATAAGTTTTATCACAATTATTTTTCATCTCATTACCTTACTCGCTCTCCTATATATTACCTTGCACAATCACATTTGCTTGAAAATGGGCACTTTAATTTGACATGCAGATTAAAAGAAAAAATGTATGAAATTTGCCTCCTGGTGGCAGTCAAGTTCAATTATATTTTTATGCCCTTTATACTTAATATTTTAATAATAATTTGCATATTATTCATTATGCTTTATGGCAAGTAAGTAAAATAAAACATGAAAAATTACAATTATTGTGCATGCTATTTTCATTATTATTTTATTACACTATTTCATTATTATTTTCATTATTAAATTATTATTATTGTATTTATTACAAATGTTATGGACTAGCTCATTTAATTTTGAAATTTGCATTTTTAGTATGTGTAAGGAAAATCAGTGAAAGAAAGTTGGTGTTAATGATAAAACCATTTAGACTCGAGCTTTCTCTAATTAATTACAAAGGAACCCAAAATTTGATTAGTTTGACAATTGAGATCTATTTTTCCATCTATTTCCGTATAGTAATGTTACTGATCGGTTTAATGATTTTGGACACATGGTAAGGCACATTTTGAACTTTTTTGGGATGTAATTAAATTGGTAAATGATCTTTTGTTGATTGATAATGGCTCTTCGTCGAAAACAATTTTGAAATAATTCTACATCTATAATTAGCGAAAATCAACGACTGGTTTTCCAAATAAATTTATAAAATTTGAAACTACTTTTCTCCACGATGAATGTCAAAAAGTTATTAGGATATGACAGTTTGTTTGACATTTGCAACTCTTTCGTAAATTTTAACTAAAAATAATATTTTTATTTAAAAACAAACTTGTCTAAATTCAAATTATGTACAATATTTCCCTAAAAATTTTAATTTAAATAATGTTTTTTTTTGTATATGTGCTCGTGCAATTGTACAAGTACGTGTGTATGGTATCAAAATGCATATGGTTAAGTTTTATTAATAAATTGGTGGCCGTAAGGTGGTTAAAAAAAATCACATTTTTTAATATAAAAACAAAAATTTTAAATAAATTGAGTCAAAAGTGTTAATTTTCTATTTTAAATATCATGTTGAATTATAAATGATTTTAAAATTTCTGCTTAATCGATGATGACTTTTTTAAATTTACATTTATTTCCCTGCATAAAAACCATATTTTTTTTTGTTTGACATTATTTATCCGCTAATTAACCAGTATGGAAAATTTATTGGTTTATTTTTTTTTAATTATGTTAACAAATATAACCACTATAAATGGCCGTACTTGTTCACATAAAATCAATAATAAAAAAAAATATATTTTTCTCTTTTTTCGTTTTAAAACATCATTTATGATATGATAATATTTTAATTTAATGTAGAATTCAATAATTTTGATTAAAAATTAAAATTTTAACCTCATTTTGAATAAACAAACAAATTTTTTTACAAAACTTTTTTAAATATTTTTACCTGAGTTTAAAATTAAAGAAAAATATTAAATTTGGATTTGTTTAAATTGTTTGAATTAAATTCTATTGCGCGAACATGATTTTAAAATAAAATAATGCATAATGGAACCTAATTTAAATTTAATTTTTGTGCAATATTTGAAATTCCAAAATTTTATCAAATTTATCAAATTGAATTCATGATTTCCATTTGTAAATCAATTAAATAACTTGTAAATTGAATAAAATTTGAAAAAAATAATTTGAATGTCAAGTTTTCATCTGAAAATAAATCATCAAATTGCAAAACTTTTTTTTTATTTAAATATTTTAATAAGTATGAAATAGCGTTAAAATTACGATTTTTTTATCTTGATCGAAAATATAATATATGTATGTACGTAGATCGAAATTTTGTATAAAATGAAATATAAAATAAAATAAAAATTTTGATTAGATGACGAGTAAAAGTTTTAAAGAGGAATAGAAGCAGCACTAAGGTGATATCCATAAAGGCGACGAGTGCCATGAATTACATTTAACTTTCCATAAAGTTCTACTTTAAACCAATTTGAGGTAATTTAATTTTAACATATAGTACCAATATTATAATTTGCAATCGTAGGAAAGAATTGATTTTAAGAATTGTGAAATTTTTAGCATAATACAAAATATCACTTTATAATAAAATATTATTCACTTAATATTTATTATAAATTTTAAATTTCAATTACTTACCCCTTGAATCTTTTTCCTTGTTAAATAGCTTCATATTGGCAATTATACAATTATAAGCTTTAATATGCACAAAAGGCTTTCTTTTTTCTTTATATCACAAATTTTATATAAAATTTTTAAATTAAATAATTTGTTTTAAATAAATTTTCTTTCCAATTGTATTAAAAATTTCTGATTCAATTTTAAATTAAATATTTTACTTTATTCTAATTGATTTATTAATTGTTTTGAATTGAATTATCATTTTAATATTTTATTATTCTAATATAAAAAAAAAACAAGTTGCCACTTTTGACAATAATTTAATTTTTCAAATAACGTATACTACGATGTCTGGTTTGCGTCTTTAATATGTTGTAAATAGATGTCAAATAATATTAACTGTTTCTGAAATGAAAAAAAAAAAAAATTATATAAGTTCAGTGATTATTAAAAAAATTAATTGATTTTTTGTTTATCTTTTGAGGCAATTTAAAGTATATTTGATTGAGATAGTATTATACCAAAATTCGGATTGTTATATTATTATTTTTATTCATTTTGAAGCAGGAAAATTATTCATATTTAAAGGGTTTTAAAAATTTTTTACGTGATCGGAATACAATGAAATATTTTTCTATTATTAGTGTTTAAGCAAAGAAAAACGTGATGAATGTCTTACATTTTAGACCTATTACGAATTTCTACCATATTGCTGAGAATATAGAAGTGATTAATGACATATTATATTGATAATTATATGTACATGTACGTAGGTTACAAATTGTTGTATTTTGCAAACAATACTTTAAAATGCCCACGTGTGAAATGAACAACAACCACAAAAACAAAATGAATTAGCAAAAATTTTATAAAAAAAATTAGTTTTAAAATAGTTATAGAGATTTTCCAATTATTTAAAATGAAAAAATCCTCGGAAGCGTTAGCCTTCCATCCTTTAAGTACAATTTTTGCCAACGTGATTATATAGGATAAATTAAACGCACTAGTGTTTTTCAATAATTCTGAAGTTTTTTGAAAACATACTTAAGTTCGGAATATAAATTTTTTTATGACATAGAATGGGTATTCTGACTTGTACATATATACATATATATATATAAAAATATATAGTACATATATAAAATAATTCTTATAGCTATATGCATAGCTAAATTGCATTAAGAGTTCCCAAGTTTATTTTCAGTTGGAAATTGGTAAGTATTTCCGAACTTGAAGATTTTTTTCCTTAGAACTTCTTTTGTTTATTGACTTGATACAACCAACATTTGGTATAATCTGTAATTCCTTGTACCGAAGAAATATCAATGAACAAATTGATATTACCTACACTTAAATATACAAAAATTTAATGATTAATAAATTTTTCTATATTGGAAAGCATTTCCTTTAAAAATTTTTCAATATACTTATGTATGTATATAATAAATAATAATAATTTAAATGACATTCCACAAAATGACAAAAAATTAAAAATATTACGGATTAAATTAAGGTCCTTGAACTTTTTTATATACAACACTGAAGAAAACAATTGCCTAAAATAATAACAAGCCAATAAAATATAATTTATAGCTTAAGTATTACTCTATCACACGATAAATGAATAATAACCTTGCGTGCACTTATTTAAATACTACAACTTTTGAGTTTAAGAATTATGAATCACAAAATAATTTTTTATTCTTTAAATATTACAAATAATAATACTAATAAAATAAATGATCTTGTATAACAGATTACCTGTTCTTCAGAAATAAATTTTAATAACTAAATTGTCAAAATTTCTAGACCTCAAATTTTAAACATTTCTAAATTTTTAAGCAGAAAATTCAAATGATCAACATTTTGAAATTGAAATTCAATAATTATATTATATAATTTTTTAAGTAAAATTTTTCATTAATTTGTTTTATTTAAACATGTAAATCAATTTAATTCAATTAAATAAGTTTTCTATATTAAAGTTATTAAGGAGTAATTTAAAAGGTTAAAACAATAATTAAGTAATTAAATTATTCTTCTAAGCTGTATTTTTCTTATAAATTAACATCTTTACTGTACTCTTAATTAATTACAAAGTATTTAAATATTTTATATAATTTTAATCTTCAAAATACGAGAATTTTATAACGAGAATTAATAACAAAATTATATACGAACACATTTATCATCAATAATAGCTTACATTAAATTATCATATGTCAAAAAGGGCTTAATAAATAACTAACTAAATACTGTATACAAACAAATATTGTGCATTAAATATTGAATTATTTATCATAAATTAAATGTCAATTCATATTTCATAATCAATTAAATATATTATAATTTTCATATGTAAATGTTACAGAAAATTATTTTCCACAAAATGATGTAATAAATTGCTTACAATAACACTGGTGTGAATAAAAATTAATCAATTGCATTTTTCAGGATTGCTTCCTCTAATTATTTGATTTTCAACTTGATTGGCTTAAGTTAAGTATGTAAAGCAATCAATTATTTAAGAATAAATCATTAAAGAATTAAAGTCAAAATTGTCAATTAAAATGCTAAAAAGTTTTTAACGTTAGCGATGACACATTGCTGAAGTTAGATTCTATCAATTACAATTCGATTAACGTTTGCTATCAATTGGAACAAAACATATTTAAAACGGCAAAACATATTTAAATGGCATCACAAAATGGCGTAATTAAGCAAGCACAATGTTCGGGCGCCATTGAAGATTTAAAACAAAAAAACACTTTGTCAAAATTAAATTACCGTGTAAAAATCTGTTGTCGCATTGAGTACATTTATAAGTACATAAATTAATGCTCTTTAACATATTAATAATATAAATGATTATTTTTTCCATATATGTATGTATGTATATTTTACACATGCATCTTATACATTGTTTCAAGCATATTCACGTACAATTTAAATAATAAAACAAATACTTCCGTTAGATAATTAAAAATAATCAATTCAATAACTTTTTAATTAGTATGTTAATGCAAACATTTAATTTCTATTTATTTTAATTATTACATTATAAAAAAAATTATTCATTGACTAATTTGTACATACCTATACACATACGAGTATATGTTAAAAATTCTTAATATAAAATTTGAAATTCAGAAAAAAAAGAAATAAATTAGATTCCTTTGTAGATTTGCTGATTTTCTGACTATAAGGAGACAAGGATCAAATGGAGAACCCGGTGGTGTTCTCTTCTATCTTTTAATGTGACATTGTGGTTTCTTCTATGGATATTATGAATTGATATAATCGAGAGGAATCTTCAATACCAGCACTAGATTTGCAGCTGGAATATAGACGAGGTTTAACAGCATTGCTGCCAAGAAGAAACTTTATATAAGAATAGCCAAACTATCGCTATATCATAGCTTTTGCAGCAGAATTGTCGTTGGGGATTGTCGTAATTATTTCTTCTAGATTGTGAATGGTTGAGATTCATCGCCACTAATCACGCAAGATCCATTTATTCTTCTTTATCAGAATAGCTTCACTTTAAAATCGTCTCCCTAATAACATTAGCCGTGAGGTTAATGGTTGTCGGCGGGACAGGATGTTCACAAAACAATAGTTATTTGAAAGGAATTGACAGTTTGTTTTGATTTTCTCTAATGTAATTTCCCAGACATTAACTCATTTTTTTTTGTTTTGTTTTTGTAAATTTTAAATTGTTATTTTCAATTCTATTACTTACTTTTGATTAGTTTATTTACTTTTTTGTATTTATAATGTCTAGTTTATATTGCCAGGTAGAAATAAAATAAATAAATAAATTAAAAATATTTTCAAATGGTGAGGACTATGGTTTCAATTAATGTTGAAAAAAAATATGAGAGTCTATAAAGTCCACATTTAACATGCAAATAGCAAATATAGTGTCCTTAATTTTTTAATGTAGCAGAATATTTTGGAACAGTGAGAGATTGAAAAATATTTGTTAATTGGCAAAATTAAACTACAATAACTATTTTATAATGCAATTTTTTAAGAAAAAATAAATTTAATTAGTATTTATTGTTGTAAAAAAAATTACCCTAATAAAATAATTGATCTAATAAATTTAGATCAATTATTTTCTAGTTCATTCTTCTTAATCTTGTTTATTTATTTTCTCAATATCTGTTGCATTTATATTAAAAAACACAATTATAGAAATAAATTAAAATAAGAGTAATTAAATTTAAAAGCAACAGGTTTAAATGCAAAATATCAAAGGTTTTTTATTAGAAATTATTATTATTTTAATAATTTGCAATAATTATTTAATAGTGTGTTTTATGAACTTATTTTAAAAGCACAAAATTCTTACAGGTTATTCTTATATCTATATGTAAAACGAGATTATAAAATTTTATAAACAAAGAATATAGTGTATTATTTTATTAACAATGTAATTAAATTATATTTTAATTGCTTTTTAATGGTTCAATACACTATTAATTTTAATAAATTTACTTCATTCATAATTGATTAAGATTTGTTGCATTATTTTTGTACCACGTTCTATATTATGTTCTTTTTGTTTTAACTGAAACATCAGCTTTAATCAGCTCACAGTTTTGGTACTTTCAAAATATACTAATAAAATTTGAATAAAATATTAAGTAGATATTATTTTTTACCCGCCAAAAAAAACAAAACTGTTAACTATTATTTCACTTCGTATCCGAATGTTGAAATATTTTAATAAAAATATACGAATTTACACGACATACCGTACAAAAAGACATAACAAAAACAGTTACATGACATTGTTTGACCAAAATGTTTACTTTCGTTTACTTGTCATTTTTGCTTATGTTAAACGAATGCCGCAACATTTTCAAAAAAAAAAATCAATTTCGGGAAAGTTTTTTATCATCCTATATTCCTCAGAAACTGCTAAAACTTGACACCGGTTGTGTTCTAAACAAAAATTTTACCCATTTTCATTACACTTAACAATGATATACAGGGTGATTTTGAAAAGTATACAACAACATATACCATTGGTTAGAGGGTTGAAAATGGGTAAAACTTTTGTTCCGGACTAAGAGCAAAATTTCAAGGGTTTCCGAGATACAGGGATTTTAACGAATTTTTACGAAATTTCTACTTAGCCAAGTTTGTTTGATTATAACTTTCGCTCCGAAAAAGATAGGGCCTTCAAAGAAACAATTTAACAAAGGACTTAAAATAAATACGTAATGGTATATGTTCTTGTATACCCTTCTGAATCACCCTGTATACTTAATATTGTACTCTTTACTGAATCATCCTGTATAAAATACCCCAATTTTTATACCCTAATTATTTTCTTAGAATTTTTAAATAACGCTACCAAAAGCTCAAAAATAAGAAAAATCTTTAAGTTTTAAATGCACACATTTTGTTGCTTTTCTTTTTTTTTTCAAAATTTAATAATAGTCTTTTCAAATTTTAAACCCCAGAAGAAAATCTTATGTTGATATTTTTACAATGTGGTGTCTTTCAAATATGCAATAAACATACACAAACTATATACATACATACATACATTTATCGTTAAAAAGCAGTAATTCATAATGACCCACTTGTTATATAATCATTCGTAGTAAATTCTATAACTATTCTGACCAAAATATCATAAAATTCAAAAGGAAAAACAAAATATGAAAATTTTCAAGCAATTTAAATCACGCAACTGTTTCACACATATTTTTTTTTTGTTTGTAAGAAAAGCTTCCATTTAACATTTCATCGCTTTTCAAAATTCAACAATGCTATTAAAAATTCAAAGAAAAGAAAAAGAAAAAAAACCTAAAGTAATTTTAATTTAAATTAAAAAAGAGCAAAAAATGCGCGTGCTACCGTCTAGCGATTTTTTTAATGTACTCGTACACATGCTATTCATATAAATATAGTTATAGTGCAGTAGAAATATATTGTAAAAATTTTATTGATAGATGTTATATAATTAAAACATAAAAAATATCAGATTTTTAACTTTTATTTTTATCTTTTTTACATTTTTATTTTTTTTTTAAATATTCCAAATATTACAAAACACTTTGATCAAAAATCTATCCAGTGTTAATCAGGTTAATGAAAAAAAATTATTCGCAATTTTATGTATTTTTTTTTCAATTTGCATCCCCTATCGAATATTGGAATACACTATTTAAATTTAACGATTTGAAAAAATAATAAACTCGTTTGTAACACTCTCATACTTCTGACAATTCTCTGTCATAGTTAAGTTTGGCATAATTGACAGTTGGCCGAACATAATTTTTAATATTTCGGATTAGACCTAAGAATTCAATAATTGAAAAATATAACCATATTTTTAAGGGTGAAAATAAAACAAGAGCGAATTCGGAAATTCGGATTTCAGCGACGAAATGTAAAAATTCATAAGGAACAACGCAAATCGTTCGCCGTTTTCGTTCTCTTCTTTAGTTCTGTTTTTATACAAACTCACAATCATTTTAAAATCAAAATCAAAAATATGTACATATTCTTTGAAATGAAATAAAAAAAAATTTGAGGACGTATTCAGTTTTCGAATATAAGCACCAGCTTCAAAAAACTTTTTTCGTCACTGAGCCTAATCCATAGTTTTTGGTTTCAAATGGACGTAGTGAAAGTGGCTCTTTTGGAGCTACTAATGGTAGTTTTTTTATTCGGCAAGTGAGAACGTATTAAATCTCAAAAAGACCAATGGCAATAAGATCATACTTCCCGAATAGTAAACATATTTTATTAACAAAGTAATTATTTTGCTGTAAGGTAAAAGTTGAAATTTAAGAAACATAACATAAATGAATTATTTACAAACATACTCAAATTTTTATTAGTACGATTGTATTGTCTTGGGGGTGCAAATTCATTAAGATTATATGAATAGTAAATTAAGTAATTTATTAATTTTGAATAATTGTAGTTTTCATTAATTTGATATCAATGAATTCTGTTTTTATGGTATTCCCCAAAAAAAAAAATTATAAAAATTCAAGAATCTCATAAAAATTTAATGCAATACTTTTCTCATTGCAATCAATTGAATTATATAGATTATAAATTATTTATTTTTTAATGCAACAAAGAATATATAGATGAATTTCCTATGAAATAAAAAATTTGATTTGATTTATATTAGATTAATTTAAAACTCTTTTACATCAAATGCGTCCTTGAGATAAAAAAAAAAAAAACAATTTAAAATTACTCATGTTCAATATTGCAAATGTGCATTTGTATAGTTACATGTGTGTATGAAAAATAGCTGTTTAATCTATGCGTGTAATATTATAATTAATTAATAAGAATTAGTATTTAATTAATATTATATTTAACTAAATTATCTTTCTTAGAAAGTAGCTGATAGTTGACCAATAAGTTAAAAATTATTGAATATCAAGGAAAGTCATAATGAAATATTCATCTCATTCTGAATTAGAAATTGCTTGCGTAATGGAAGCAACAGACCTTGTGGAAAATTTTAAAAGATTAAATTTTTTTGTTAGAATAAATAGTTTTGAATGCAACATTTCATTAAAAACTATTTATTGCCGCAACTACGAGTACAACACAAAATAATTGTGAAGGTAAACTAAAACCACGCATTCTATTCAATGACATTGTCAAAAAAATCAGAGTTGTCGTTTTAATTAATTGATATAAAATTATTTATTTTTCTGCGTCTTCGATATGAAAAGAATACGGGAGATTTACTTCAATTATTTAAAAAGAAAAACATTTAATATTTACAAAGTTCGAATAGAATTTTTATTAACACAAAATCGTGACAGAATTTTGGAGTTGACCATAATAATTCAAATCTAATTTATTAATATTAAAAATTGAAATAGTTTAAGGTATTTTCTGTTATAAAATTTAATTGACAAGGAATTTTAAAGTGAATAAAATAAACATTATTTAAAATAAAATAAATTTTTTTTTCATATCGTGATTTAATTTATGTTTTATTATTGAAATTTTTCTTTAATGTATTCATTACCGTAAATTAAAATAAGATTATATCTAATAAATTAAATCATTTTTAATAATCAAATGATAATTATAATATTATGCGCATATATGTATGTATATGAAATATTTAATTTTAAATAATTTTCAATTCTCACATTACGTTAAATGTTGACATTATTGGGAACAATGAATTCGAGTACACAAAATGATTTTTATGAAAATAATCAGCAATGTGCTAAAAGACAAAATTAATTTTATTATGCATTAATTGTAATGACAATTTGATTATTATTTAATCTATTAAAATATTTTAAATTTTCACTAATGCACATGAAATTTGACGTACTTTTTTTTGCAAATTTTTCATGGAAAATTTAATGACGTCCATTTTAATGTCATTTTATAACATTTTGATCTTTTTTATTTTGTATTTAATCAATCAATGTTTAAATTTAAATAGATGATATACTTTTAAAATTTTTATATTTAATTACTTTAATAATTAGTTTATGATTTGTTTTGAATGATTTTCATAAATGACGTTGATCTGCAGTCGGGTGATCATACGCGTAAAGTTTTTGTCAATATTCGCTATTTTTTTTATAAGGCAAATTCAGCACATTAAGTACGTATTTTGTAATACGAGTAAACAACATTTTTCTCCCTATTTTGTGTTTGCTCCAATTTTGACATATTGGAATAAGTTTTCGTGCTTATAATACGTAAAAGTGACTGCAGAATGAAATATATGATTTTGTGATTACTTATTACAATTCACTTAAGGAATACTACAACTTGTACATAAATATTCTCTCAATACCAATACTTATAACTCTGAAGGGATCAAAATCTAGTAAGGATTACAGTTTTTCTGGTGCCAATAACTATTTTTTCGGTCAGAGTGAAAGAAATTGTAGTTTCCAAAATACCAATAATTGTATAACATGTTAATATTTGTGGCTTTTAATATTTTTTTAATAAATATATTATATACATATATTAAAATTAACAAATTTCAAAAGAAAATATTATAATTTACTAAAAAGAAAATCTAGACTTCAAAAACACAATCCCTTCTAATTTATAGCACTATATTTTTTATATAAGTATCAATAGCTACCGAAATTAATTGTTATTATCCACTTGTTTTTACCTATAAGTAATATTTTTATAAATAATATTTTTCTTTTCATTCATTTGTATTGCATTCAATGCTTAACTATCTTAAAATCAAAAACACCTCTTCCTTATATTTTTCAATATTTTCCAATATATCGAATATTAGATGAAATATTATTGCCACTTTTTAATTCCTCATAAAAGTATGTCCCGTGGAATTTTCAAATTAATTAATTTAATTTTAAATTTTCAGAAAACGATATTTAGAAAAAAAATTCTATAATCTAAAAATCCTTTTAATGGATTTCTTATTCTTTAAATTTTAATTTTAGAAACATAATTAACGCAGTTTTAGTCTTTATACTATCATCACCACTATAATTTGCACTAATTATTATTATTTAGTATGCACTGGTTATTTTTATAATTATTATTTAATTTATTCATTGTTAAAAAATTTCTTCATATAATCAACAGGATCAATACTAAAAGTGCATTTTTTTTTTAAAATTAAAAAATTTTGCGAATAAATCCTGATTTTATCTTATTAATTTAATAATTAGTTAAACACAATTGACATAATATCTAATAATATCAAAATATTTGGCAACAAAATTAATTCAAAATTAATTAATCTACAATACTGCACATTAAATTTACAAATAATTTATAAGGTCATATACTTACTTTCTGAAATAATTTTAATCCAAAATTTGTAGCTCTAGCAAAGCTCGTAATGATTTCCAAAATTCTTTCGTTTTTTAATTAACAACAAGATTTTTAAAATAATAATAATATTTATTTATTTTTATTTTTCTATAATTTAATATTAATTATTCAATTCGAATTTAAATTTTTTAAAAAAAATTTTAAACTCAGGTTTTATAACAAAAAAAAATTTTTTAATCCTTAATCCTTTTTTCAATTTGAAATTAATTTTATTTATAATTAAAAATAATAATTTTAATATTTTAAAATTAATTTATTTTTTCTCAATTTCAGTTTTTCCACTATAGCTCAAAAGCTATAAATACTAAAAATTTTCGTAAATATTTTAAATAATCCGTTTCGATTTTTCTTTTTCTTATTCACAGTACACAAAATTTTCACAAAAAATATCGTTAGAAAAAAAATTATTACTTTTTCCGTTTATTTTTTTCAATTTCCAAAATATTTTTTTTTTTTAATTTTTACTCCTTTATCGTTCAAAACGCTTTCAAGTTTCAGAATAAAATGATTATCACGATCGTTTAAGCCAAGATTTTATATTGAAAAATTCATTTATATATGAAAAAATTTTCTCGCTCTTTTACAATATTTATCAAAAACAAAAAGAAGCACAACAAAAATGTTGAAGTAAAGAAAAACAAAAATTTTGAGTACAGTTAAAGATTTTTTAAACTGTACTCAATTTTTTAAGGTGACAAAACAAAAATGATATCAGTACATACATACACACAATCGTAATATGCAAACGAATATGCATGCCAGGTGATATGAATAAATTTTTTGTTACAAAATTGCGATAACATTAACAACGTCGTATACTTACTTTGTAGTTGAATTCTTCTTAGTTCATTTTAAGCATTCAAAGCTGAGCTTTTTTAAATTATTTGTGTGTAGTTAATTTTTTTTGTCATTCTCTCTTTTAAGTTTTGTTTTCTTTTTCCTTTTTGTTGGTAAAATGATAAAATATCATAGATTCAATGTAGTGTTTGTCTTAGAAAAAAAATAAAGTTTTTGACCTAAAACAAAAAAATTGAAAAAAAAAATAAAGCGGATTGAGCGGTTGTGGTTGAAAAGTTTATATTTTTAATAATTTAATGTTATTGCATTTGAATGAATTTTCTATATGTGTCAGGCTAATATTAAAATATCAAATTTCTAAAGTTTTAATAAGACCTCGAATTTCGAGGTATATGCGAGTATAAAGAAGATAAAAGAGCGGTGAAAAAGCGTATACGTACAATTTTATGATCTTGACTGCAAGCTTTTGACTCTTTCACGTGTATTCAAAGTAAGATTTTTTGCATTTATTTAGTTTAGAGTACGTACATATTTTTAAGTACAGATTTATTAATGTAATTTTTATGTTATTCTGAATTTTTCCCTCTCAAAACAATATCATTTAAGTAAATGTATGTGCAATATGTATAAAGTTTGTGGCAATATTATTAAAAACGTATCAGAAATTATATTTGAATTTTATTAATTAAATCGAAATTTTATTTATAAAATTTGGTTTTAATTAACTTATTTTAGAGTTTTAATTAATTCTAAGTGCTTAGAACAAAATATCACTTATACAGTTTCTGAAATTTCAAATGTAGTAAACACATATTGTGTATATTTACACTCAAATTCTGTTCAATTTGACAAAAATTCGTGTCAGTCATTTTTTAAGTTAGCCCGGAATTTCTTTCATATAATACAAATATAATCAATAATTAATGTAAATTTCCGAATGTAATGAAAAATTTGCTTACTTTTAAAATATTAAAGCATGTATTAGTACCTTTATAGTACACTTCTGTCTAGTTTTATCTCAACCATAATTTACAAGTTTAAGTTATAGCATCCATAAAACACAATTATTACTGAATGATAAAAAAAAACTTATCAAAACGGGCTCAAGAAATAAATTAAAAGAATTAAATCACGAGAACAGCTAAGGAGCATATATTTATAACTAATTGTATTCGCCCTGGAAATCAGAAATTTTATACAGTTTAACCTTTTGATAAAAAATCAATGAATAGTTATTCGATATAGTTGACATTTTGTTGAATTTTTAATCATGATTTACATTCAAAATAATTATTGGAGTTCAAAATAACTTTTAGTTTTTATTAAATCTCAATATGCAAAAACCTGAAAAATAAACCACAAGACTCGATAGGCATATTATATGTAATTATTTTCCTTTATAATATTTTACTTTAATGTAGAAAAAATTTTGTCACAGTATACAAAGAATCCATATTGACGTCATTTTAAACCGGAAATTATACAAACAAACTTTTGTTATCTACTTCATATTAATTTTCTTCTTACTTATTAATCCCCAGGAATAGAATTTTTTACATATTATACTTACATAGTTTTTTATGTTAATTCAATTATTACATACTTTAGTTCAATATATACGAATATTTTAAATATTTTATTATAAGCACAATCATTTTACAGAAAATTCTCCGAAAATCTGTTAAAAAAATTTATTAATTTTAATAAATATTTTAAATAAACTCGATTTCATCCTCATATTTCGCTGTTGTATATACATTATACGTTTATATTGTATTTTGTATCATAAATAGAAATGATAATAAACTATTTTAGTTTATAATAACTATGGTATCCAAGCTCTATATTGTAGGAGACAAAATCTTCTTAACTATTCGTTGGCATACAAGATGAAGTCCATATAGAATATTAAACCTAAAATTAAAAATTAACTGAATGCGCTGTTTTACAATAATAATCATTGCACTGTGATAATTTATTGCACAACAACGATAACAATTACTGTCATTTACTTCGATAAATTGTAATTGTTATTTTTTTGTTTGCCTTTTGTACATTATTCTTAACCGCATCTTCCATGATCATTTATTATCAAGAATATTGCATATATTCAAAAAAAAAAAAAAAAAAAAAAGAGCCATAAGAAGAAGAAAAAACAAATTTAATAAAATTTTAGCATGGAAGATGCAAAAAATCATACGAACCAATCTTACTTTACATGCACATAATAGCTTCAATAATGAAATACTAAAAATGTCCTATAAGAAATTGTGTAAAATAATATTGAAAATAAATATTTTTTTTTCGCTTAAATTAAAATATAATAATTTTTCATTAAAAACTAAAATTTCTGATAATTATAAAAAAAAGAAAAAAAAACATAAAAATGACTTGTACACTACGTCAATTTTTTTGTGCCATCAGAGAGGACTAAAAACTTTTTTTTATTACATCGTATATTAATCAAGTATATATGGTAAATATTAATCCCTACACATTGACGACAGGCAAGGTTGCTTCTTACAACAACAATACAAAATATAATGAAAATTTGTTTCAATATTTTTAAATAAAAAATCTTGAACACATCATCGTATATAAAATATGTAAGCTGCATCAAATTTGTATTCTTATAATGGTTTAAGAATATAATTATAATAATATTGGTAATTGCATGTTGTACAGAATTAAATGATCGCTATCTTGTCACATTCCCACTACGAAACAAATTATTTTAATCGATTATTCATTTATGTCGTACATACCTACATACACTGCTGTCTACATATAGAAATGGTATTCTGTTTATCTATTTATGTTAAGTTTTTATTTTTATCAATAACAAGAAAAAGGGTTTATAAGCCTTTCCTACTAAAAAATCCTACTCGATTTATATGATCTTATAAATTTGATAATCTTACAAATATGTTTAAGTATGAATTTATGTCGGCATTTTCAAATAATTATAACTGAAACGGTGAGCGGCTACAGCCAATTTATGCTATTTCACCGCCACTTAATTTCGCTTGATCGTGGGCACTCTCATTTAAATATACGTGTATTCTATATGAAATTTCGCTGTGAAACAGGTGGGCGATTTTCTTGTAATGAATCAAAAAAAAAGTTTATGTGTGATTTTTTTGTATCCTATGCGTAATCTAGTAACTGAGTTTTTTCTAGACAGCGAATTTTCGAAGTGAAACTAAAGTGAAATTTTGATTTACGAGGCTTAAAACAGTCTATTTGAAGTTTCTACCTTTTTTGGGAAACAAGTTATAACAAGTGAAAATCCTTCTATCTCGGAAACCGTTGAAATTTTACACTCAGTTCCAAACAAAACTTTTACTCAATGTTGATGCCCAAAACAATAGTATATGTTAAAGCATTGATTACTGAATCTTGAATACTATTTACCTAAAAAATAAATATTTTTATGAAGAAAACAATTAAATTACAATATCCGTATTGTAATCATAATTAATATTAAGTATAAAACATGAGAAAGCTCATTTTATTCCTACAAAGCGTATATAAAGCTTTTTTCGAAATTCTTTCAAAAATCATTAAAACAAATTCAAATTTGCGTAGGCTTAACTATCTTTGTATCTATCCTTCATTGAAATTATTCATGATTATGAGGTGATTGTAATAGAAAAAAAAACTTTTAAAATTACGCCACAAAAGTCACTTATTTAAAACAATGACGACTTATAATTCTTATTTTTTTTTTAATATTCTTATTTTGTGTGTATATGACGCAAAAATTTTCTCCGAATTTCCAAATTTCAATTAAATAATTATTTTAGAGAATTTTTTTTAATTTTGTTCAATTACCGAAATAACAAACTGTTAATTACTATGTAAATAATGATGATTAGAAGATTATAGAAGAAAAAAAATCTTAAAGCAAAAATAATTTAAGCGAAATTCTTCATAATTATTTTAAAAATTAAATTACGTGCCTATGATTAAAATAAGATAGGCTAATAATAATATTGTTATTTATAATTAAAATATATATTTAAATACACATACATATTGTATACATACGTATATGTTGGGCTTATATAATACACAAAAATTTTAAGAAAAATAAGGAAGTAAAATTGCAAATTGTTCTTTTCAAAAAAAAAAAAAAGAAGTTTAAATTTAACCATGACCGTAAAAATGACCGCATCCAGAAAAATCAAAACCAGTTATAAGCAAATATTAAACACGTGTTAAATTTCACTAGTGCAGAAATTCTTATAGTATATTGTGTTTGCTAATTAAAGTATATAAATAAATTTCATTTCTAAGG